GACGCTCATTTTCAGCGTCAAAACAGGTCACGTGATCAAAATTGACGAATACCAAGTGTCAATTTTGATCACGTGACCTGTTTTGACGCTGAAAATGAGCGTCTAGCGTCAGATGAAAATCCAGCTTAAGTCATGTGATAGAAATTGGCGAATATCAAGCGTTAAGGTGCCTTTTCATGTTGACGCTCGACGCTCGTTTTCAACGTCAAAATAAATTACAAGATCTCTCAAAATTGACGCTTGATATCCGTCAATTCTAACACGTGACTTATTTTTACGCCGAAAATGAGCGGCGAGCGTCGGAATGAAAAGGCACCTATAATTTTGATCTTGTGATTTATTTTGACGCTGAAACGAGCGTCGAGTGTCAGCATGAAAAGGCACCTCATGGTTATAAGTACTTAACCTGGTTCTACATTAGTTGCAAGCTGATCGCAAGTTTGTTGCGACACCCAATCTGAAGCTTGCATTTTGAAATCAATGCTTCATATTGGCTGTCGCAACAAACTTGCGATCAACTTGCAACTAATGTAGAACCAGCTTAATACTGAATTAAAATGGTAATGACGACCTAACCCAACCGACGCAATGTCGCATCTCTGGTATCTAGTAGCGTTTTCTCTTGGGATTCACATTGGGCGCATTCAGTGGACTAAATAGTTGAGTGAGCGTTCGCTGTTATTGGTGTATTCTTTTAGCTCATCCAATCAGAATTTTAGATTTAGAAGAATACACCAATAACAGTGAGCGCTCACTCTCTGTTGAGTCCGCTGAATGCGCCCATTGGGTGCAGTCTCGCACCAGTTGCGTGTAAGTGCTACACTCAGCTACAGTGCCTGCTGCACTACACTAGAGTGGTGCATACCATGGTGTACATTGTATCATTGACCTCTGTTAAGGCCATTCTACATTGGTCGTATCGTAGCGTCGGAATCGTCGTAAGCATCAAGGTAAATTTTCACGGGCTGCTCAAACCGGCTGTTTCAGCGACAAAAAGAATCACGTGGTCAAAATTGACGAATATCAAATGCCCATTTTGATCACGTGATCCTTTTTGTCGCTAAAATAGCCGGTTAGAGCAGCTCGTGAAAATTTACCTTCATACGACTTAAAAATTGAAGCATTGGATTGGCTGTAGCAACAAGCTTGTGACTTGCGACGTCTACGATACGACCAATGTAGAATGGCCTTTACACGGCACTCTTTACGCCGAAGTTATAACATCGATGTCATGAAACTGGCCAATCATAGCTATTCCTCTAAGGAATGGAATGACTGTGATTGGCCAGTTTCATAACATAGATGTTATAATTCCGGCGTAAAGCGTACCGTGTAAACGTAGTAATTATTATGTTAAAACCCTGTTCCCACTTGACTTTTATTTTCAAATTTTAAATGTCACACTGGTTCTACACGGTCTCTTTGAGACGGTGTAGCAAAATCCCACTTCGTGCATAAAATTTGTCATAGCCACGGAAACACGGTACACCGAATGAGTTCGCTTACCACCAGCCAGTGGGTGTTTTCCAACAACGTACACAGATGACACAGTGTAACACTGTGTCGTACACAAAGTGTTCCAACTATGACACAGTGTTACACTGCTCGACACTGTAAAAAGTTAAGTACGAGCGTGTAGAGTATGTCAGTATTACCAACTTTTCAAGAAATTTTATACTTAACGTGTGGCAACATGTGGCGTGTGGAAATTATGGGATTCATTTCTAGCATGAATATAATCTAAGGCTGCTTTCCTTTTAGGAGACACAAACCGACACAGTATAACACACTCAAACACTGTTTGCCACGCTTAAATGGAACGCGATATGTGCAGAGTGTGTATCGTGTGTACGAACTTTTAGGTCCGTTTCCACCAACGCAGATCAACTTTAATCTCGGTTCAACTTAATCTTTGTCTTTTTCTAGTTCTAAAGATTAGAAAAAGACGAAGAGTAAGTTGAACCGAGATTAAAATTAATCTATATTGGTAGAAA